TTTTTTTTTTCCTCATTTCTTCAATACATCAAATCAAAATCGTCACTGTTAGGGAGTTTTTAGTTCATTTTCAAGATTGCAATGATATCTTTAGTGCAATGTAACAACTATAATTTTTTATTTAAGTCGTATCTATTTGTAGTATGGCAATGCCATGTAGGGCAATAAAATTTGAGAAAAAACTTCCTTCACCTCCATGTATTTCTACTAGGCACCAAATAGCTTAGTTTAGATGTCCACAGGATTTGCTTAACATCTAGCTCACAGAAATTTAGAATATTACATCTTAGCAGTTGCAATCTCAAGAAGTCATCAAACAATTCCAAATATAAAATTACACTCAAGATACCATATTTTAACATCATCTAAAAGTATTCCTTCTTTGTCAATTCCCTTCCTATATCTATACCTCCAAGTCAGCAAAATAAAACCAGCATAAATGCAGCAAACATGTTCCCAGTAATTTAACTAGATCAACGAGAAACCAATAAGAAACTCAAAAGGCTTGGTTCCACCTCTAATCAGTGCAAGAAAGGTGAAAACAAAGAAACAATACTACTAGACAATGCAGAATTACAGTGGAAATTATTAAATCTAATTAACTAAATGTCGTGCTATTCAACGCCTTTAATAAATATATTTGCAAACCATCAACTTCTTGTCCAAATATGAAATTCCAAACCCACTTCACATTCCAAGCAAAATTCAGACAACTCAAGAATTATGCAAAGAAAGGAAGAGAACCTCACCAAGAACTAAAAGGAGCAAGACACGGTTACGGCAAGACTGTTAGAGTAACGGCGGGTGCTGCTGATGCTGTTGTTTCTGCTTCTGCAACTGAGAGGAGGCGATGGAAGAGAGGGATCGAAGCTTAGCTACTGCAGAAGTTTTGTCCGGCGGGCAGCTCGCAAGAGCAACGCGGATGGATCGGAGAGCGGCGTCCGGTCGGCCGGTGGCGAGGGCGGAGCACGCTGCGCGGTAAGATTCCTCCGCAAGCCGTGCATCGGGGGAGGATCCATTGAATCCGAATGCATTGTTCACCGCGCTCTTGGTCTCAGCCGAAATAGTTGGTAGAGAAGAAGAGGACGATGAGGATAGAAGAGCGGAGGCATGGCCGTACTCAACGGCGACGATGGCTGCATCGATCTCAGCCATTAGGGTTTCCGGTGAAGAGGGAAAGGTCTTTATTGCGTCGAAAACGCTCCACCCCTGAGACCGTTCCTTCTTCATCTCCACTCTTGCTTTACTTCGGGTTCCGACACTTGGGAAGTGGAGCACCGGCGCGGCCACGGAGC